GGCTCCTCTGGGGGCTTTACGGTTCCCAAGGGTCCTATTGCATTGGGTTGTAAACCCTGGAGCCTTGGTGGTATGACTGCCTGCCCGAGCCCACTTTCCTGATTCGGAGAATCAGAATGCAGAGAAACTTCTAGGAGAAATGCCTGAGGTCGGGGATTGCCCGCCTTCTCCCCAGAAGAGCTGGTGAAAATCAGAAAGTGGCGCTTCCGTTTTTCTCTTACTACCAGGCAGCTTCCTCTGCTGGACTGAACCTCTCGAGCATTTCTGAAACCAAAAAAAAAAAAAAAAAGATGGTCTATTTTTAAGTTCTTCTGGGAGAGGCCCTTGCTGGCTGAGCAGAGGAGCTGAGCCCTGCAAGGTCAAAAGAAGGACACCTGGGGGTGAAATGAGAGCCCGGAGCTGGGAGGGTGCAAGGCCAGGTTCCACAAATGTCAAAATGTGACGCAGTCCTCGGCACTGCTGACATCAGGGCCAGGTCACTGTCGGGGGGCCTTCTGGGAGAGGTGGGGTATGAGCAGTGTGTCTGGCCCGGCCCATGAGTGCCAGAAGCACCCCAGTCGTGACAACCACAGATGCCCCCTGTGTCCTGGGGGGCAGCAGCTCCCTGGCGAGACTTCCCTCTAGTAACCTAGAGACATCCAGGGGCGCCCATGCCCTGTGGAGACACAAGCGCGTGAAGGCCCCACCCACGCCTGCGCAGAAAGCAGGGGCTGCTAAGGAAAAGAGTCGGCCACCAGGCTGGGGGTTGTCCTGCCTTCCCCTTGACAGGTGAGCGCAGAGCGGGTGAGTCCAGAGGCGACAGGGCCTGCCCAGGCCCCCGCTCACAGGTGTTGAAAAGGGAAATCAAGCTTCTGACCCTTACAAACACCGAGTGGGCATCCCAGCTGTGTCCCCCAGAAACTCCCACATCCAAAACATCAGGAGACAATCAAGGAATGGACCCAGGATGCCAAATCTTCTCCCTTCTCCCCCAGGACCGAACGGCCCTCGACTTGGTCCCAGCGCCACAGGGGCCACAGCTCCTCCGCCGCCTCTCGCGTTTGCCTCTGGGTGGTGGTCCCATGCCAAGTATATGCACGACTTTGATTTTATTGTCACCGTGGGTGGGTACCCTCTGAAGCGCTGGGCCCTGTGATAGTCTAGTTTCCACCTTTGCTTGACTCCAGAGTCAGCCTGAAGGGACCCCATGTTACAGGTGAGGGCAGCAAGGTTCGGAGACCCTCAGCAGGTTTCCAGAGCCACGACTGGCGCTTGCTCAAAATCCCTCACTGCACCTGGGACTAGAGCACCTCTGAGCAGATGCTGACCGGCAGTCTTCCAGAAGTTTCTAGAATCTTCTAAGTTCTTCCTTCTCGCCCAAACATCTCATCCTGCAGTCAGAATCTGTGCCCTCTTTTCTATCTTCAGAGCAAACATCAGGATAATTTTAATAATGAAAACTATTAACATCAAAATAGCAATGTACTCCGAGGGGCCTCATGGGCCCCCCAGGGTGTTGGCGACGGCCCGTGTACATTTTAAAATGCACAAGACTTGTCCATGAATGAGCTGTACACTCGTCTGTGTGCACATCATACTCCCATAAAAGAGCGTGGAAAAGAAAAGAGCCAAGGATTACAGCCCAGTGCCCAGAGTTGGCTGGGAAGTGGATGAGCGTCCACAGCTAGGCCAGCTCTGCAGACCAGGTAGGGAGCTGTGTCACCACCCTGGGAGCCAGGTGGGTGCCTGGGAAGTCATCTCCGAGAAAACGAGTCATGCACCAGGCACCTGCACTGGGGTGTTCATTTGACGTGCGGTATTTTCATGGTCTGATTATTTCACAAGAGGAAACCATCCGAAACAACCTCAAGCAATCGCACGCCCAGGAGTATCCCACTTCATCATGCTTTGCAGACACTGTGTCTTCCACATGGAGGGTGGTAACAACCAGCCTGGCGCAGCCCGTCAGCACCCTTTTTCCAACATCACGTATTTACTTCCTGTCTCTGTGTCACCTTGAACTGAGGCAAACATTGTTTTTAGACAATGTTATTGTACAGACTACAGCAGTGTCAACATGACTTTGATACATCCGGAAACCAAAGCATCTGCGAGCCTTGCTTTATGGCAAGCACAGTAGCTCGAGGGCACCCTCACGACAGCAACAGTGACGTACACTACGGAACTTCCAAAAAGGGTAGAATACAGACATGAGAAGTCATGGATAAATGCAACACCGTCTCCTGGATAGTCCTTGGGTGCAAAGCAAGACTTCTGGGCAGGGAAGGGCAATCCACAGACCGACGTTTCAGTCATGATAACCTGCTGTTTGTTTTCTTCATTCTGAAGAATGTCAGCCTGGGTGACGTGCAGGTGGGAACACTCAGTTCTTTTTGCAGCTTTCTAGCAGCCTAAAATTATTACATAGTGAACTTTGTCTTCTTTTAAGTGAAGTGCTAAGAGAATCTGTGATGGCATGGAAAGAAAATCTCCTCACTGAGATGTTGAGGACAAACATTTTAAAGGCAGCGACCAGCTGTACCCAGGAGCTAAGTTTCTATTAGCAGGCGAGTACATAACATGCCTTGAGGAAAATGAGGTGGTAGGATTGTGGATGGATTTCCTTGCTTTATTTGATGCCCAGATTTTGTAGGATGAAATCGTGTTGCTTTCAGAGTCAGAGAAAGACATAGGTGCAGGGACCACAGCCTGTGTCACCTGAGGACGAGGGCATGTTCCCAAAGGTATCCCTGGGGAAGGGGTGTGCCGGCGCCTGTAAGGACTAAGGCAGGACACACTGAGGGAAACCACAGCGGGATTTATTTACACAGGGAGTGAGTGGAGAGCGCTGAGAGGGATGTCTAGGCCACTGAGAGAGAGAGCAAGAGAGAGCACTGAGAGGGATGGCAATGTATAGGCCGCCAAGTGAGAGAAAGGCTGAAAGGGCTGACTATGTGCAGGGGGAGAGAGAGGTGGAGAGGGGTGTCCAGGCCCCGGGGGGACAGAGCGCTGAGAGGGGTGTCTGGGCCCCTGGGGGAGAGGTCCCAGCAGGTCCGTGGTACAGAGACCAAGATGGCGGTTGGCGGGCTCAGCAAAGCTGCAGGGCCCGGCTGCCCCGTGGGGAAGGGGGAGAGGAGGGGGGCAAGAAGCGGGCCCGCCAAGCCCAGTGGGATCCCACCATGGAGGCTCCAGGACCAGGCCAACTGCCGCCATCCACCACAGAGCTGGCGGGGCGGCTCCAGCTTTTGAACCCTCTCGGCAGCGCTGCTGCCCCGGCATTCCCCACAGCAGCGCCCGCTCGGTCTTGGTTGTCAGGGACGGAGTCAGGGCCAGGGCCTGGCAGGAGAGCTGCCGGGAGCCCAGTCCCGCAGGGCCATCCTCTCCTAGACGCCACGGGCCTCCCAGGGCGCCTCCATGTCTGGGTGACGCCCCTCGGTGTGTGTGTGTGTGTGTGTGTGTGTGTGTGTGTGTGTGTGTATGTGTGTGAATGTGCGCAGCACCTCACACGGGAGCTCAGCGGATGGAACCCGGTCTCCCGGCAAGCGCAACCTCCACCCAAGGGGGTCTCGCCCAGCCGCCCTGCCTCTCGGGAGACAGAACGATGTCTGGTGTCATCTGCAGTCATTACCACTGGGGGCCCTCCAGACAGTGCCCAGGATGGCCCCAGAGAATGACCTGCTGCAATGTCAGCAGGGCCAGGGGGACAGGCCCCGTGGTGGGGAAAGCCAGCCTTCCTGTGCTGAGACCCTGGGGCTGCCCTCTGCCCTCGCTGGGTCTGGGGGAAGGAGGTTTCCACCAGACCTCAACACTACCGCCCCCCAGTCCCTGGAAAGCTCACACTGCTCTGGGCCAGCTTGGGGCGGCAACAGTCGCGTGTCCCTCTGTGGAGGTGGAAAAACACCACTGGCTGGTGAAAAGCAAAAATGTTTGTAAAGGAAGAGGACCGGCTGTCGGAGACCACAGGAGACCTTCACAGGCAGCGGGAAACAGTCTCACCCACCCCCAGCAAGCCTGGGCCCTCAGGAAGTCGGGCCTGGGTTGGTCTCGGCAAGGAGGAAACGCCCCCCCAGGGGAAGCCCACCGCAGGACTGCCGGGACCAGCCTGACCTCCAGGGTGGTCCAGCCCCAGGCCTTTGAAGTGAGGTCTGCGGCTGGGCAACTGCAGGTCCCCTGGGAGCTCGGCCTGAGGCGTCTGTCTGCCCTGCTGGACAGTAGGGAGTGATGCAGCGGTCAGGGACAGGTACCCCTCTTCTCCCAGCCCTGGAGGGAATTAGGGAGCCAGGCCTCCCCTGAAGTGCATTCTCAGAGCAGCTGGCGCAGCTTGGCCAGTGAAGTGTAAGACGGCAGCCGGGCTCAGGGTCACCACAAGAGCTGGACAGCAGCCCCCAGGGCCCTGGTGCCGGTCTGAGGATCAGAGAGAGACTGGGGTGCTGACTGTCCGGGGTTTGCTTGAAGTAGGAGTCCGGACGCTGCAAGTGGGTGGCTCTGAGCTGCCCAGCCCACCCTAGGGTCTCGTGACGGGGACTTCCTGTCCTGTCGCCCCGGCCTGGTGCCTCCCCTGGCCCCAGCCGGTCACCTCTCCCGCCGAGGTTAATTGGTCTGCCCCAGTCGCAGTTTCCACCGCTCCCTTCTCGCCCCGGCATGTGGCTCACATCAAAGTAGGAAAGCAGGGACGGAAAAACACCGCGCATCACATTTCAAAGCTGGGCTTGGACCCGTTTGTTTTTCTTGCGCTGGCATGTCCCATGTCCTCGTGAGCCGCGATGGAATAATACAAGTTCCAGAAGAAAACCTGGCCGGCCCCGCCCCACAGAGGAATACTGTTCCGTTTCCTGAGCGAACAGTGCTCGCTGCTCCCCCGCCCCCGCCCACCCCGTCCCCTGTTTCTCTGGAAGGCGGGACTGGTTCCAATTCGAGCCCCGCGTTTTTGGCGACAGCCAAGTGTGTCTCTGATCAAAGCTGGAGATGGCTAAGTGAAAAATATTTAACCTTGCTTTTCATTTTCTCTCCTTTTCAAACAGGGTAAAGCCGTGTTTCTTGGAAAAACTGCAAAAGGTATGTAGCATTCTGCTTACTTCATGGGCTTGGAATCTCTTGTTTTTTTAGAAAAAGGAACAAACAAGCCCGGGTTTTCACGCGCACATGACACGCTCCGGGCCGAGGGCCAGGAGACCTGAGTTCAAATCCCAGGGCCCCCTCACTCGCTCGGCCACACGCGGGCCGTCTCCTTTCATCTCTCCACGCCGGAAACGTCCGTCTCCGACTTCCCAGCGTCGCGAGCGCGCTGCTCACGTGAAGACGGCGGCCCTGAGGCGGCCGGCCGGGCCCTCCGCTGAGATGGTGGGGGGGGGGGGGGGGTGACGGCGCTCCCCCCACCTCGCTCACGGCGGGGTCCGTGCTGGCTGTGTCAGTTACTGGGTCTCTAACCCCCCTCAGTCTGACCGCCGCGCTCGCTCGCGTCGGCCATCTTTACAAAGCGCCGACTTCCGGCTTCTCGCGCGGCCACTCACTTCTGGCCCGCTCCGCTGGGCTCCTTCCGCCTCGTTGTCGTCACTTCCTTCCTCCTGCCGCCCGTGGTTTTCTTCTGCTTGTCCCCTTCTGGGTCCTTAGGGCGCGAAGTCGGGTTCAGGCGGACGGTGTAGCCGCCAGCATGCCTCCGGCTAGCTCTGCGTCCACTGGCCAGCAGGGCTTTCCGCTTTACCCGGTGACCGCCTCTTGCACGCGATCGTCTCTTGGTTGCGCTTATCGTTTAAATAACGCGTGTCCCGCGTCAGTGTCAGGAGCAAAAGGACTCTGGGGACGGGGGCGGCACTGTGTTCTGGGGGCCTTGACCGTGCTCCGAGGTGGACTCACGGTGCGGGGAGGGAGGGCTGCCCCTGGGGTACACTCCTTGCTGCTGACCTCTCTGAAGGCTGCTGGCAGAAGGCTACAGAGGTGGTGGGCTGGGCCTTCGGGAACTGCACCAGACGGTGGCCCCGGGGAGCCAGAGGGATTGAGAGAGACTCCCCTGTATGGCTTCCTGCGGCCACCATCGCACACCACCACCACGGGGCTCCTTAGCACCACAGGGATCTAGTCTCTCCCGTGGCTGAAGGCCTGGCATCTGAGGCAAGGTGTCACAGGACCTTCCGAAGGTTCCAAGGCAGGTCCCTCCCACCTCTGCCAGCTTCTGGTGGCTGCTGGCAACTCTCGTGTCTTATGCACCTGTCACCCCACCTCTGCCTCTGTCACATGGTCGTCCGGCTCTTGCTTGTGTCCAGACCTCCCTCTTACAGGGACACCAGGCGTGGATCAGGATGACCTCAGCCAGTTACACTGCAGATTCCCTTTCCAAACAAGGTCACATTCCCAAGTAGACTTGAGCATAGCTTTTGGGGCAGTTTAACTCACAGCGCCCCCAACCCTGCCCCTGCGTGCCCTGGGCAGCCCAGGCGGCTGTTAATGCTGTGGGTGCTGGGCTGGCAGCTGCCCTGGCCCAGGGAGAGTGGAGGCCCCTGGGAGCTCCCTCCCACACCCTCCACATTTCAGGGGCCTGGTCCCCCGCACTCTTCCCCTGGGGGCTTCTCTTGGAAGTCTCTGGCTCACCCCAGAGCCCTACAGGTGGTTGGGTGGTGGCATGAGGCCCCACACGGGTCCCCGCTGCTCGCTTGACGCCTTGTACCTGTGAGAGGAGCTGTAAGGAGGAAGCAGGTGCTGACGCAGCCTGGCCCCGTGGGGCTGCTATTGGCCACATAAGTAAATGGACATTTGCCTGCTCCAGCCCCACTTCTCAGCGCCTGTGCCCCGGGTGTGCCAGGCTTCTCTCTGTGCAGCCTGCAGGAGACAGAGCCCGGAACAGCAAGGGGACCAGCCCCACTCCCCAGGGCAGAGTCAAAGGAGACGAGTCGAGAAAGCCGGTCCCCAAGAGAAGTCGCATGCTAACACAGTACTCCCGCAAATTCAGTTAGTGCCGCAAGAAACATCCACCGTGGTGACCCAATTCTTTAGGCACAGACATCTCCTCGCCCTAACCCCAACCTGATGATGTCCTTTCTCTGATGAAAAACTGGGCATCTGGTTGGTCTTTGCGTTCATTTTGACTTTCTAAAGAAAATATGACTTGGTGCCCCTTGGCGTTGGCACCCAAGGTGGGTCTGGGTCCCAGGACCCCTCACTCCAGCGGTGCGGTGTGGGCTCCCCTGCCCCATTTCCTGATGGAGCCCGGCCCCAGTTGCATGTGGCCTCTCAAGGTGGGTCAAAGCAAAACCACCCCGCTGGCAGCAGGGCAGCTATGGCCTCGGACCCCTGTTCCCTGGAGGCTGCTGCCGCCCCTGGGCTCACCCACAGCTCCACGCCCTGGCCTTCTCCAACCCAGCCTGTTGGTTCATCGAGCTATCGAAGGGAAAGTGGGGAGCAGCCTCCGAAGCCCCTGGGCCCCCTGGAAATCCCAGCGAGCACAGCTGCCCACTGCAGAAGTCCTCAGGGCTCACAGTCGCCCTCCTGGGCTCCCGCTAGACCGTCGCGCTGCCTCCGTGTGCCGGCTTCAACCCAGCGTCTTCCCCATGCCGCCCGCTGTCCAGGGAGCAGGGTTCCCCTTGCAGCAGGCCTCCAGCGCCCTCAGCCCTCCTGGGCCACACGGGGCTTGGCTGCAATTCTGCATTGACGAGGAAAGGGGAATGGAATCTGGACGGATGAGAAGGGGATGTCAGCCTGGGTGGAAGCAGACACCGATGGCATTGTTAGGAATTCCATGCCCGTTATGGAAACCGCAGCTTGGAGCAGAGGATTAACTCGCTCTCCAGGGGTCGGTGCCCATGGGGCTGGCCCCTCCCTGCCACTGTCCTGGGGCTGGTTGCTGTAGCGCTGGGTGACCAGGCCCAAAGGGTCAAAGAGAAACCACCCCGCTGGCAGCAAGGCCACCCTGCTTTTGGGGCAGTTTAACCCACAACACCCCCAAACGCCAGCTCTCTGCACCCTTGGCAGCCAGAGGGCGACTGTGAACTCAGTGCCTGTGGGTGCTGGGCTGGCCGTCCTGGTCCTTTGACCCCAGCCTGACCTTTGACTCCAGCCCTTATGCCCACACCTGCTGGGCCAGGAGTGGGTGCCCTGGACCATGGTGGGTGGTGGCCTCAGCCCTCCCAGGCTTCACACTGCAATCTGATGGGACCGAAACAACATACAGATTTCACCAAAAGCAGCTCTGGGCTGGGCGTCCTTCAGAGTCAGGGCCCTCCCTCGCCTGTGCTGCTCAGTAGGGGTCTCTCGCTGCGGAGAGCGTCCTGGGCACCGTGGGGTGGTGGGCAGCCTCCCTGGGTTCACCCACTTGATACCACGGGGAGAGTTGCACTGTGACTTCCCACACCAGGCGAGTCTAAACCGGCTCATTGAATCGTGTCTTTTGAACCTTTTTTCCCTCATTTCATTTTACATGAAAATTACCCGTGGTTACAGCAAGCCCTCGGAAGGGCCTCCCTGATTCTGCTCTGCCAGGCCGCTCTAAACCAGCAGTGGTGGGGTCTGCCTGGAGGGGCACGGGGCTCAGGTGCCACGGGGTGTCCCCAAGCTGCTGGGCGCCACCTCCCGCCCGCTGGTGTTGCCTGAGCCGGAGGACAGGCAGGAGCCGCAGAGCCCGGCGGGTCTGTCCTGGGCGGCGTCTGTGCCCAGGCGACTCCCCGCCCTCGCAGAATGTCTCCTGCTGGACACACACTGGGTCCCGGTGTGGCTAGGTGCCCGTCCCTGGCTGCCCAGCCCTGGGGGCCCTGTCCTGGGGGAGAGACTGGCCCGGAGCAGAGTGAGTCCCAGAAGCAGCCCCCTGGGTAAACACCTGCCGTCGCCCCTTGCGCCTGGTGCCCCGTGCCCAGCTTCCGCTCAGGCGCCCGCATCCTGTCTCCAGAACTGTGACTGATACTTCCATGGCAGTGGGATTTTTCAGGAGGAACTAAGTGAAGGCCCCTGAGATGGGGGCCGTGGATTCCAGTGTCCCCCCGAGGGTCCTAGCAGAGGAAGGAGGCGGTTCAGAGGTGCTGCTGGCTGCGAGGTCGGAGGACGGGCCCCAGCCCAGGATGGGGCGCCTCTTGAGGCTGTACAGGCAGGAGACGGTCCCCGGAGCCTCCGAGGAGCGGCTGCCCCGCCGGGCTTAGACCCGTGAGGCCGTGTCAGACTCGACCGCTACGACTGTGAGATGACAAGTGTGTGTGATTTCAAGTCATCAGGTGATCTGTCAGCACCTACAGGATGTGGTATCCAGGGAGTCTCCCCGGAACTTGCAGCGCCCCAGCAAGGGGCGGGAGCCCAGCCTGGCTGTGCGTGGTTGCAGGGCTGCAGAGGAGCCTTCCACGGGCGCTTTGCAGGCGTGTGGGCGCTGTCTGGGTTCAGGCGGGAGGCCTGGCTCTGGCCTGTCCCCCCCAGCCCGCCTGCCCTCTGGGAGATGCACCCCCCAGGCGGGGCGGTGGCCGGGAAGGACACGAGGCGGCTCACCAGCTCACATGACCGGAGCCCAGAGCTCCCTTTCTCCGCTCCGCGTCAGTGTGCCGTCACCCTCGTCACCGAGCCCCATTGTCCACCCGCCCACCGGCCAGCTCACTCCCTCTCCCAGCCCAGCGTCCACTCACCCTGCAGTTCTGTTTTCGCTTCTTTGTGGGCATCTCATTCATCCCCTCTGCTTTCGACCTTTCTAAATATAGCTGCCCGGGAACCGATTTAGCCGCGCACAAAAGGCCCGTGCTGACAGCAAGTCACAAGACGCTGTTTTCCAGCAGCCGCGTGCCTTCCCTTTAGAACCGGCCGCACGGCAGAACCCACTTGTCCCATGACCCCCCAGGGTCCTGCCAGAAGAGCCCAGATGTGCAAGGGGTCACACACCACTCCCCACACCTCTCAGGCTGATGGTGGCCAGGGCGGCTGGGCGTGCAGGGCGTGGTCAGCCCTGGAGCTGAGAGCTCGTCCTGGGGGATTGGGGGGGCAGAAGCAGTTTGTGTCTCCTTTATACTGACGTTCAGATACCCGCACGGCACCCGGGGCTTCCCGAGGACCCCGTTTGGTTGGCCTCTCTGTGCACACTTCTGCAGAGTCCAGAC